AGCCACCCGACTAGAATCAGTGGGATATAATGCAGGTTGTTGGTTAACAAATAGTTTGCATTGCAATAAGAAGCCTTTGCAGCGAGAAGGTGACCCATCAAACTTTTCAGGAAAAGCTAATCGGGGACTTACGGTAGCCGGAGCATTGGAGACATGCGTTGGTTGAGAAGCTGTCATGGTAGCAGGCGGGATAACTGCAGGATTCGGATGACGGAGTTGCTGCATAGCTCTCACCAGTTCCTCTGTGAGAGAAGTTAGATGGGTGAGTTGTTGATGATGGGTGGCTAACTGAGTGGCTTGAGCGGAAAGTTCAGTCGAGACTTGTGCTAAAGCTGCTGGATTCTGTAGTGGCGAAGTCTTCTGTTGTGATGAGTCAGAAGGCATTGAATCCATTTGCAAGCTTTATTAAGAGCACACATACAAACAAACACAAAGGGGCAATCCAGGAGACAGAACGTGGGACAGGCAAAAGTTCAGAGGCAGGCAGATATCTTACTGGTCAGAATAACAGGCTGGAGATCAGGGGCAGGCAGATGTCTTTCGTAATCGTAGAACAAGCACAGGGTCAGAAACACAGATCAGTCCGAAGCAGGGAGTATGGAACGCTCAGAAATGACAGCCAGGCAAATCAAGACTTCGCAAAGAACCGGAGCGTGAGTGTGGTATATATACACGAGAGCTGATGAGTTGCACCTGGACCGTAATCAGTGCCAGGTAGCAGGGCTTATGGGATTTTGAGTCCGTGAGTCGAATCAGAATTCTGGCGATGGTTCCCTCTGGTGGTGCACAAGAGGGTTGGCATCGCCCTCATTTACAACACAATGACACAAAGATTTGTCATTCTGATGGCACTGACATGTTCAATGATACAAATGTTTATTTTTGAGAGACAAGTATTGTTAGTAAGAACCCATAGTAATAACTGAGGATTTTGTGCAAGAGACTGACTTTAAGGTAATCCAGGGTATTTTATTATTTGTAAATTTTGTTTTGAGAAATGTAGATACTTGTTTGCATATTTCAATTCTGATCTGAGAAATGTACCAAAGTGACTGAGAAAAACTGTATTTACAAAACTGATTAAAATTAGCAGCAGAGTTACATATTACAAACTGTAATATAGTAGTAAGCACTATAGAAAAAAATGGTTTTACATAACAAATTGACATTAGATTACATGCATAAGTAACATGTCATAACATTACATTTCATGTTAAAATTATTTATTATAGTCTTAGTTTACTGATATATAATCCCTAGAGTTTTATATTAACTATATATTAGTATTATAATATCACACATTAACTGAAACAGCAAATAATAAGACATGGATCGTAGTATTTAAAAATCAATATTAGGGCTGCACGATATTGGATTTTATTTTTTTCTGCGATATATATTGAGATACGATTACAATTTCACCAAATGACTTAAATACCTCTATTTGTTAAAGATTCAGGTACAGAAATTGAGTAATCAAATGTAAATTATCACTACATAGCATAAATAATATAATTAAATATTAAATATTTTTCATAAAATATATAACATTTTTCAAATGATACAGTTCCTTGTGCCTGAATGCTTTAAACTCTCTTAATATGCTCATACAGTCATACAGGCCTTAAAACATGTAAATGATAAACAGGTGCTCCATTATGGTAAAAATCTCCAATGACTCCATGTTCTATATCATGGCTCCTGGTCAAATATAATCCCAAATCAACATTATTGATTCTGCGACATGTTCATCCAATTGCAGATGCACACATTACGATATCGATGCTATAACAATATATTGAGCAGCCCTAACCAATATTATTACATTAAAATAGAAATAAATAATACTAAACGTTTCAGATGAAGTTATGTTGGTTGCAACCCAGGCTCATTCTGAAAACGTAGTCCTGTGGACGTTTCTGGAGACCGCGAAATACAGGGAGGTATTTTTGCAGTTTTTGTTTTTCGCAAAACCACAAGAGGCCGCTGTGTGTGCTCTTTTGTATCTCAAACGTCTCTCGCAAGAACCGTTTGCGCCCGCGCTGTTCTCGCGTAAACCCACCAGAGGCTGCTGTCGATTGTCATTTGTCTGACTGACTAAATAATTGACTGGACGACTGGCCAATCGACTGACCCACCTACCTCCTTCCCTAAACCCAACCAACAATTTACAAAAGCCGTCCAGAAAAAGTAAAGCCCTTGTCTGATTTTTACCACATTTTTGGATTTTACCACATTCTCACCCTGTTTTGAACTTGTTCTTTTTATTTTTTGGATTCTGTTTTTTGTCTTACCTGATTTCTGGAACCACTCTTCCCCAGACTCGAACCCAGTTGTTATCATGGTCAGCTCCTTTCTGCGTCTCAACTCTGCCGACATACACGACGAGCTAACTCGTGAAAATGGTTGCAGTGGGAAAGCCCTCCACATGGAGGTAGGCGGTTAACCAGTAAGCGCAAAAAAAAAGGCGTCATACCGCCCCCGTAGTGTTCGCTTAAAAAATAAAATGCAGTCATACGTACCTCCGGCTACATAATTCGCAGTCTCCAGAAATGTCCATGGGACTACATTTTCAGAATGAGCCTGGGTTGGTTTGTTCAGTGGTTCAAACAACATTTTTTTTAGAACATTATCCAGACATATCTACACCCAATAATGTTTGAAAATGATAGACAGACAGACAGACAGACAGACAGACAGACAGACAGACAGACAGACAGACAGACAGACAGACAGACAGATAGATAGATAGATAGATAGATAGATAGATAGATAGATAGATAGATAGATAGATAGATAGATAGATAGATAGATAGATAGATAGATAGATAGAACTCTTAAATTCTGATATATTCTGCAGCAAACAAACATATTGTAGCTTGAGTGCTTTTTCAGACTCAGTGTATGTTGATTTAAGAACCAGCAGCATCCAAAAATAGCAGTGTAACCTTTAATAGCATGTTAAAGCTTTAATTCTACCACTTGTCCTGCTGTTTGATATCGGCCCTGACCCCTATGCTCTGACTCACTCAGAAACTAAATGCATGGAGTCTCCAGGGCCCGCTGCGCTGTCAATAACAGGGCTCACTGAACTATTGACTGAACACCATCTACAAACCCTCCACCCATGACCTTGCTATTGAACACCACAAAAGAAGTGAAATGAACGGATTATGAAGAGAAAAAGCCACTCCCCTTTGCTGTCTGATACGGGTGCTGTACTTGCCGTTTCGTGTCATTCAGATGCGTTTGTCACACGGCCTCCTATCAGCACAGTTCAAACTATTCTACAAAAAGAACACACTCCAACCATTCAGCGTCTTAACAAACGGGGTTGATGGATGAATAGCACAATTTCCCAGCAACCCCCGGGAGCTGGCAGGGCATGTCTGCCGAGAATATAATGGAGTACGGGAGACCCAAGGCCCCACAGAAAGCTCAGAGCTACAGAAAAGCCTGGTGTTTCTGTCAGTGTGTGAATCATCACTGCCAAGCCGTCTCCCTCTGACTGGTCTCAGTGTTGCTTTTAATTAAGGATACATGTCCAGTCAAAAAATTACAGTGTTAAAATTTTCATTCACTCTCAAGTGGCCTGTCAGTCATTTCTGCCCCCACTGTACATGAAAGGATTTCACTGGGTATTTGCCGTACAGCTCTTTCACATCAGGGCTGCATCCTACTATAAATGATGTAACCACATCCAGTCATGTGAAATACAGGCTACATGCATTAACGGCTCATTCCAGGGCTTCTCTCGCCAAATGCATTAACAATCAATGAAGAACAGCTCCTCCAAGCAATGCACCTGAGAGTCAAATAAATATAGCCCACGCCAACCTGTTTGCTATTTTTGCAAGGCTGGCTGACAGTGAACCAGCGCAGCAGATCAGGCCTGAGTTTGCCCATACTGTGCCAGCAGAGAGCGACAAGATATGTGCTGAAGGATAGAGGCCAGGTGCACAAAGAGACCCTATCCTGATGGGATCAAACTAGTTACCCTGATGTGCCCACTCCACACTGAGCGGCCCTTTAACATGACAAAATTATATCTGATGTGACCGCCTTGCGTTCCCCTGACTATGAGCCCCAGCCACGGTAAATGCAATCACTGAAGCCTTCTCAAATAAGAGAGGTTACAGCGCCACTGAACTGTGTATAACTGTGCAACCTGAGTGGAATGCGTAATGTTGGGCCAGATGACTCTTCTTGGCTGCCTGGAAAAACCAGCTTTCGCTTGCATAAAGTCTACCTCGCCAAAGTACAACATGTAGCCTGTAGTGCAATAAAAATGCTTTTCAGAAGAGCTTGTCTGCTGTCTTAAAGCTAAGCATCAAGTATTAATGGATAATTGAATGAAAGCTTTCAGGATTAATTGGATGTGATAACTGTTCTAGAGCTGGTTGTTGCTTGGAGACGTCTGGTGCTTTCAAAAGGAGTGTAGTTTTTAAACACCCATAAATATCATATCCTTGTGAAATATTAATGGAACTTAATTTCGATTATCTAACGGACTTACTGTGGCCACGTAATGTGTGCACAGACAAAATCCTGATCGATGAGATGCGTTTATGGCCCAAGAATTGGACATTCGTGATGGCTTCCATCCATCTTACATTCAAAGCACAATGCCTTTTAGACCTGGAAACAAATGCAAATTAGCATCACTGAGTTTTATCTCAAATAAATAGGACAATTTCATGGAGTTTAGCAACCTCATCCTTAGCTTCTTTTCATTTGCGCAGAAAATGGATTTGATGAAACATAACATTGGTGTGCAAACACCTTAATTGCCTTCCTCCTCTCTTGAAGAGATTTGTAATCTTTTTTTGCTGTGTATAGCGCACTGTGATACCCAGTCTCGATAATGAAAGGTTGTTAAAGCATGGAATAAAAGATTCATGGTGTTGAAGGGGATTATTTTTCGAATCGCTTTTGTTGCTTTGGCATGGTTGACATGTTGAGATAGGTGAATGAATGAGATATTCTTTGTCCCTCCCCAGAGACTGAAGGAACTGAAGCAGAGAGAGTTTGCCCGCAATGTGGCCTCCAAATCCAGGAAGAACGAGAGGAAACAGGAGAGAGCTCTCAGACGCCTACATGAGCTTGCTGAACAACGCAGAGAAGTGCAATGGTGGGGGATGTTTTGTTTATTTATTTTTTTATATATATATATATATATATATATATATATTTATATACAGTTTACCAAGGTATGCATATATATAATATGGTCTAAAATAAAGCAGACTAGTTTGTTGTTAAATACGTGCAAATTAAAACATCAAAGCAGCATGTGATTTAATTGAAAAGTATTTTTGTGTTGTACTGTGCAATCCTCAGGTTTCCCTAGGGAGTCCAGATCTAATTGTCACCTCATTTTTCTGTTAGATGAGTGTAAATGAACCTGGCTCTTATATTTTGTTTCTTTTATTCCTCTCCTTTCTGATGCAGTGCCCCAGGAAGTGGTCCTATGTTTAAGTCTACCACAGTGGCAGTGGAAGGTTCTTTCAGGGAGTCCTACTGTGATGATGATGCCCAAGAAGAGAACCAAAACTGCATGGCTCAAGATTCGGGGGGTCAGATCCATTCCAGCAGTTGTGGCATAGCTAGTAAACAGTCACCCTGGTCATACAATGGGAGGGCCAAAAAGCAAACTTTTAGACGCAAAATTGCATTCTCTTTTTCCTTTCCAAAGAAAGCAACTGTTAAGCTTGAGTCATCAGCAGCGGTTTTCTGTGAGAGCACGGAGGAGGGGTCGATGGAGCGAAGCCGCAGACAAAGACTCAGAACACCCCCTGTTGAGCTTGACCTCCCTGGGTCCCCCATGGAGGAAAAAGTACTAAAATGCGAGGAGGCAATTTACAGCACTGGCACACAGCAGAGCGAGCATTTCCAAAAAAGTGACAGCACCGAAATTCAGGGGTCATCAGATATCCCTGTGGCAGGGGAAAGCCCTTCGTCAACGGCAACAGATTTGTGTGCTTTGCTTGTTTACTCAGAGAATGTTCCTAGTCCTGCCATGTCCCCGTTAAACACTTCCCCTTTTTGTTTGAACAGAGCTGATATTGTTCTTGAATCTGAAGACTCTGTTGAGAGCTTAAAAAGCAGCAGTGCTGAAAGTAAATCTGAGACCTCTGAGGATGTGACAGAAGAGGGTAGTGGTGTTACAGAGGAGGGGTGCTTGGCCATCAGTGAGCCTCCCGAAAAGATTTTCTCAGATGAGCCACCTAAGAATGATTCTTCTCAAAGAGAAGAGAAAGTTGAGGAAGCACCTGCAAAGTCACCTTATGCTTTCACAAAACCCAGCCAGCCTTTTTTCTCTGTTTTAAGCAGAGACGGAAACACCATCTTCCAGTGGCCCTCTGAGATGGTGTCCTTCACAAGGACAGAGCCATCCCTGTCTTTTAGTTGCAACCCCCTCCATTTTGACTTCAAGAGGACACGGATTAGAAGGTCTGCCGACACCCAGGAGATGACTGAGCCCAAAACTGATGAGGAATTATCTGTCTGCTCAGGTTTCAAATCCTGCCACTCTGACAAGCACATCGAGGAATCTACAGCCACCCCCAGAAACAGTCCCAGCCAAGGAGCAGAAGGCAAGGTCAGAAAGTGTTATCAGTATTCAAGTGACACAGAGAGTTGTGTCAGGTTGAAAACACATGACAAGTGTAGACATTCCAAAGATTGGATTCATGCAAGCAAGAGAGTGGAAGAGAAATTGCGGAAAAGGGATCAACGTCATTACAGGAGCCATGCTAAAAGAAAACGCAGAAGGCGGAAAAGGAGGAGAGACAGACACTGGGAGACAGAGAGCAGTATGGTGAAATCTAAGAAATTCCTCAGACGACCTGAGTGTGTGAAAGGACTTGATAGCCAATTTAGAGGCACCACTTCACAGCAAGTGCATCCATTAGAGAAGTCAAAGCAATCAGCTCAAAATCAGGCTGAGGATAGCAGCACAGCTACCGTAGTTGAGGAAGGGGTGGGAAGCAGAAGGCAGGAGGCAGCAGCCAACGTAAACTGCTCAGCGGGCTGCATCATTCTCTCTGATGAGTTCTGTGCCGATGGTGAAAAGGTGCTTGGGAACAGCAGGGAAAAGCCTGACAATCCAACTGCAGGGGAGCTTACGTCTATAGAACAGTATCCCCGTAACCGAGACACATCTCACTTTCATGAATCCGGTTCAGCCGAAGGGGGGCAAGAGGAGAATCCTAACCCACTAGTGACTAACAGAGATGGGGCATGTGAAGGGCAGAGTTTGAAAAGACCGTGTTCAGAATCTCTAAGAGACAGACATGAGTTTTGTGACTCCTGTCAGTCACTGACAGATTTTTCTGATAAATGCACAGAACCTACCTGTTGTGAGCATGGGACAAGCAGGAAAAGACAAAGGCGGACACAGGATCAAGACCAAACCCCATGCCTTGCAATTGAATGTCCCGTTGTTCACAACTCTGTTTTGGAAGAACAGGACAAGGCCACAGTTGAGTCGAGCATGAAATGCCTTGTTTTAAAAGGCACGTGTGACAGCTCAAACAGGTCAGACCTAAACTCATGCAGTATTGATGATGGAGAGAGCTGCACGGCTGATCCTCAGACATTTAGTTCCATTAGCAGTGCCCTGGGTCACACTGTGGTGGAGAGCAGCGACGGGCAGCAGAGCTCCTCCTCTCAGATCAATGCTTCATGCACCAAGGGCAGTTCAAATCTCCTAGAGACAGATTCAAAGCTCTTGGCGGAGCCAACAAAAGAGAATAGTGAGTCAAAAGCAGCACAAGCCCCCTTAAAGAACTGTAACAAGTATTCAGCGGCTGCTCAGGCCTGCCTGCTGGATGTGAGAGAGTTAGCCCTGCAGAGGACTGAAAAAGCCACCCAAGACAAATCATGTCAGCATAGCCTTCAACCCCCACCGCAGAGATTTCACCTAGGCATTCAGGCTGAGGAGAAGTTGAGCAGAGAGTGCTTCCACACCACCGGCAGCCTGTTCCAACACTCTCCATCATTCACAGCCCCCTCAGACAGCATGGAGAGACACTGTCTCCTGCAGATACAGAGCCACGGACAGGTGCTACACCAGCAGGTTTTCCCCACCAAGCTCAAATCTGTCCTTCACAGGCCACATCTGCCCATGTCATCTGCTGTCCTCCATCCAGTTCACCTGTCACCCTCTGTGCCTTCCGGCTCTATAACAATACGTCACACCATACTACAGCACCATGCTGCTTTCCTGCCCCCACAGCCACCCATTTACCCCCAGGTAGTGCCTGTTTCTCGACTTTCACTAGGAGCTGAGATCTGTCCACCCACCGCTTCTCCTTTTGTGGCCTCTCCACAGGTACCCGTGGTGGCGCCCCCTAATATTCATCCAATGACTGTAACCTTTCATGCCCTGCCACGACCTGCCATGTTTTCGCCTATGTTGACCCCTCATCCTGCTGTCATCCCCCTGCAGTCTCTGTTCTAGCTCTGCAGCTTTTTCTGTAACGAAATGCATTTGCACTGCAGTAGTGAAAGAAACATCTGCAGCATCGCTCCCTTAGTTAGAGTATTGAGATAGGAAGTAGCCAATGGGTATTATACAAAAGAATCGTCTTTGCAGTTTGGAAAGGATGCTGTTTCTGTGCCATGTTGTCAGTAGAAATTTTCTTGCAGAAAAGAACTGCACAACACTTTATTAGGAAATAAACTGTATAACTCATCTACCTGATCATTTCTGATATACATTTTATTAAGATTATTACAGATTTTATTAATTTTAAAGACCACAATATTATCAGATCCAAGGCAGAATGATCATTCAATACACTGTTTAGGTGTGCATCTTTATAGAAAGAAGTAATTATATATAAAAGAATATACCTAATAGTCTGTACTTAGACATAACATAATATTGTTAGAGTGACAATATTAAGATATGATGGTCGCTGTTTGCAATTAGTAATGATATGAATCAAAGTGTCATTATATGCAGTATACACAGCTTACCTAGGCATTCATCATGTTGGAAGGCATAAAAAGAGAATCATACTGACAACAGTGTGTATTAATTGCTTTAAATATAACACTGAAATGCCTTTCAAAGGCTAGTGGAAAGTGAACCATGTGCTACGACAGCATTGAACACACACATGCTCATTCATATGAGTAGTTTTTATGCAAATCAAAAAGCCCATAGCATGTGATGGTGAAACTGAATGTGACTGTCAAAAGTTGAACTAAAATGAGCAAATTCTATTTCTTACTTTGCTAAGTACAGACAGTGTCATCCTCAAATACAGAATCACAGTCAAGTTCAGACTACCGAATGTGTTGTGTAGTTTATTATGTAGTTCAAATTGTAGATCGTACATGCTGTTGCCTAACATATTTGAAAAGAAGCACAAAACTTACCAACTGCAATCCATCCATGGGTGTTTCCCGAATCCCTCATATTGTAACCTGCTTGAATTAGGAGTGCATAGACTAGATCTTTCTGAAATGATCTGTAGGACATGGAGTACCCTGCTCTGTAGCATTTCTGTGGGGAATTTTATTTGTCCTTACCTATTTTGAATTGCTGTTAATAGACCTTTATAAATATAAAAGGTTTACTCATTCAAGAATGACCAAATGACCTGGCATGTGGAGTTAATTTTAACCAAAATCGTACGTATAGAAGCAGGCGATTCCCCGTTTTTTTTTTTTTTTTTTCCTGTATTAATATTTCTAGTTGATTTACATATTACATATTACAAACCTTGGTGATGAATTGCTGGTAATATGATTAAATCCTACAAATATTTAACATAGATTTATTGAAATCCTGCTTCAGGGTAACTCCAAAACAGAAGTTCGTTTTTGTTAGCAAAGGATTCAATTTCTCCTGCTTGCATCAGATGAAAGGGACTAAACTCAAGAGAAGGATTCATTTACTTATTTAAAACACTAACTACTAAGATACTTGAATCCGAAAGCAAGTCTAGCTAGTTAGAAAAGAACAGATGAAAATCTGTCTCTTTGAATTCCCACAATCCTTTCATTTTCAAAGGAGATGTGTTGAACTGGAATTAATGACTTAGCTTTATTGATTTAACGAATAGCCATATGGAAAGTAGACTGTACTTAATTCTTAATAATTATGCTCAAACATATATTTTTAGAAATCTTTTTTATTTAAAGTGAAAATAAATCAATAAAAAGCTACAGAATTATAATCGAGGTTGTTTTAAATGACTAAAATGACTCTATGAACAAGTATTAATGTAGACACATTTAATTATAAACACCACAGTGGAGAAATTTAAGCAGAACTGCAGTTTATTTATTTATTTTTATTTTTTTCTCTGAAAGCATGTAACCGCATTACTAAATACAGTGTAATAAAAATATGCATTAAAACAAGTTGGTACATAGAAATAAAAGACAAAAAAAAATTATGCAGAGCTATTCAAAAGTGATGAAGAGAAACTGGTGTTTTTGTAACATCTGTTCAACAAAGCTCTGAATCCCACCAGATTGCCCCTTCTTAATTAATTTCAGTTCTTGAATCCTAATCGCATAGGAAGTCCATGATGTTACTGTTTTTTTTTTTCATGCAGTCGAAAAAAAAAACATGCTTTGAAAAATTGTACATGCTGTAAATCAGTACTATTTATAAATCATGTAATGTACATGTACATATGTTTTATGTTTTTATCGTGCCAGGTACCCTGTATGTATGAATTATTTAGATAAGATAAAAACAACTATGTTTTTTACGCCACTTTGCCAACTGAATGATGCTGAAGTACTATGTAATAAAACCGAGAAACGAGCGCTTGCTTTCATGTGTGTCCGTTTATGATGTGTCTTAGACCGCTTTCGGGTTACCGCACACTCAGGTGAAGTCCACAGTATGTGACTACAAACACACTGGAAATGCATGCTTTTTGAAGCCGGGGAAAAATCCAGGGGTTTTGTCACAGCTAGGGAAGAACTGTTGAATATTTCATCTTAAGGTCTCACACAAGCCATGCAAAGGTTATTGAGCGAGACAGCCACGGTCATTTTCTAGCAACTTTGAGGCAGTGCTTGCTAGACCATCATACTACGAGTGGTTTCAGATCGTTGCAGTGTTAATGCCCTCACCTTTCAGTGTGACTGACATCATTATGCAGAATTATTCTGCCATCCTGTATGTATGAGACTGATTAGCTCAGATGTTCCTCTGTTATTTCCCCTCCTGTCCTTGAGTCATATCTCTCCCAGGCTTCTCTGTTGTTAAAACATTATACCTTTTTTTTCTGCTGAAGTACAATTGTTGTTTTTGTGTGTGTGTGTATGTGTGCTGACACACACTGTTTCGAAGCTGTTTTTACTTCTCAGGATATAAATTCTTCATATCAACAATTCAATTCTTGATATATATATATTTTTTTAATTTGTGATATCATTAATTGCTGATTGGGGCGGCACGGTGGCTCAGTTGTTAGCATTGTCACCTCACATCAAGAAGGTCACTGGTTCGAGTTCTGGCTGGGCCAGTTGGCATTTCTGTGTGGAGTTTGCATGTTCACCCCATGTTTATGTGGATTCCCTCCATGTGCTCCGGTTTCCACCACACTCCACAGACATGCTCTATAGGTGAATTGAATAAACTAAATTGGCTGCAGTGTATGAGTGTGTGTGTGTGTGTAAATGAGCCTGTATGGGTGTTTCCTATTACTGGGTTGCAGCTGGAAGGGCATCCACTTCTTAAAAACATATGCCAGAATAGTTGGTGGTAGTTGTGGTGACTTCTAAAAATAGAGACTTAGCCGTAGGAAAATTTATGAAAATAATTGATTATTGTTGATATCAATCACGTTTTGATTTCAATAGTTTATTTTTTGATATCTATCAATCAGTTTTCATATCAGAAATTACATTTCAATAAGTAAAAAATATATAATTCTTGATATCTGTTATTATATTTTCACTATAATTAATTCACCATATAGGCTGCAAAGATATTGATATCAAAAATAGTGTCACTAGTGACAATGCTAATTTCTGATAACAGGAATGTGATTGTTACTAATAAAACAAGTCATTTTAGATATCAGAAATTACTTGCCTTATCAGCTTAATAAGTGTGACATCACACATGTTCAAATGCTATATCAAAGAGTGGGGTTAAGCTGCAGGCCTGGAGACTCAACTGCACGCTCACACCTGCACGCTCACACCAGCACTTTTAGACTGATCATTTTCTCGGACAGTGCCATCTGCTGTTGGGTCGAGTAAAGTGGCAGGTCCAGAGATCCAATAGCAAAGACAGTCCTCGCTGCAGCCTGCAGCTTAATGATGTACTGATGTACTGGTCCACTATGTAAAAGACAATCGCCTACACTCAGGGCTTAAGGCACCTCATTTACAGATCCCCCTCCTCACACGCACCACTGCCCGCCCCGCTCTTCACTTTCTTCCGTGACTCCCCAACTCTCTTCACTTTTGTCCATGACTTTGTATCTTTACTGTATATGACATGGGCCTGTTGGTTAGAACATTTTTGCAGTGGTTTGCATGTGTCGAATTGTAAAGTAGATTATTATTAATATTATTATTATTATTAAAGTAGGATTTTTTACTATTTCCTAATAAATAATAAATATTATATTTAATTTCTTAATATATAGCCTCATTTATTTATTTATATGATTTATAGATAATTAGAATATGTGTAAGCTTTTTGTTAGTGATTTTATGTTTTAGAATAGAATATGTAATGTTCTTAATAATATTTGTAAAGGAAACATATACCCTATATTTGCCATTTACATATATTTTAATTAATATGAAAAACGAGTTGTTTTTTTCCAAAAAAAAACGCGTGTTTTTTCCAAAAATAATATTGGATTTATTTTAAATTTGTGTGCGTGTAAAGCAATATAATTTGCAAAAAGAAATTACAGGGTTCTTCTCTAAAGAAATTGTTACCACACAGTTTAGAGCATCATTATGGGCATTTTACGTTATAACTAACGTGGTTCAAACCATGGATCTGGATCATTCTTTTCCAAAACAAAGCATCATACTATGATAGTCCAGCTGGGAGTTACATCGTTGTTTGGGAAACGCACCCCTGAGTGTGGGTCTCCAGGCCTGCAGCTTCATAATGTTGATCTCAAACTGTATGTGGAGGCTCAACATATGGTAATGATAAACCTTTACAAAGTGATGTAATACTTTCGAAAATGCCAAATATCAGTATCAACAGAATGTGATTAATTTTTTATAAATTGTTCAAATATTGGTGTCTGATATGACTTTAATGTGTGATATGACTAAAAGTGGTCCTAAACAAATATGTTCTCAATTCAGATGAGTAGCGGCTTGAAACCGGAAACAGTATTTCATACGTCACAACTTAACAAGCGAATTGCTGATATCAGAAATACATGTTTATATATCAGAAATAATATGTGGAATGTGTAATTGTGGCTATTAAGTATTAAAATATCAACT